CACCCAGTGATGGAAGGAAAGTTGGTACTATCATGTAGGAGGAAAATTTGAGGCCCAGAGAGGGACACGGCCTTTCCTGGAGCACACAGTAAGAAAATAACAGACGGGATTTAAAACCAGAACCTAGCCCTAGAGTTGCTGTCTCCAGAGAACTCTTGTGTGTGGCTCCCACGTGCCTAATTTTCGCATGTGCTCTTGTGCACACATGACCCTCACTAGTATGACTTCCATGTTTAGCTTTCACTCTTGGGATATTTACATACATGTGGCCTATATGCATGGCTCTGACCTGTTTGTCTGTCTCACACATGGGCTGTTTCCTATGTGGCTCTCAATGAGGCGTTGGCTGCCTGGACCATGGTCTCATATACACTCCGGGATAGGGCTACGTGACCCTGAGGGTTATGGGGGTCATTCATCAAACATTCACCAGGTGCCAAGTCCAGGAAGCTCAGGAATGAGTCACTGCTGTAAGGCTCGCCTGAAGCTGAGCACAGAGACGATCTTTCCTCTGAACACCCAGGCATGTGAATCAAGACTGCATCCTGGTAAATAATGATAATGGTTAATTATCATCACTATTAATAATTAATATGTGTCCACCGCCTTCTGAGTACATGCATTCTCTCATTAGAATCTCACAGCCTCAGGACTGTTCTCCCTCAAGCCAGGCTCCTGGCTGCCAGCCAGCACCCCTCTGGGCCTTAGTTTACCTGGAGGCTCTGCCTATGAACACAAAGAATCCTGTCTGCCCTGATCTTGCTGTTGTGTGGTCACTGTACACATGAGGAGACTAAGTCTCAGAAACAGTGAGCTTTGTGCCCAAATTCACAGAGGCCAGGCAGAAAGAGAATGAGTAGTATTGGACACTCAGGTGGCCAACATAGAAACACTAGCCATCAGGGCCCCTTTCCCCTCTCTGTTCATTCTGGATGCTGGCTCAACCCACAAAGACCAGTTCCTGCTGTGTTCTTGGGACAGAACTTCCCCCATGCCTTGGCCTGTGGTGGAATTGCTGCCATGGAAATGCTTCCTTCTTCCTTCCTTCCCTCCTTCTCTCCTTCCCTCTTTCCCTCCTATGGGTTTAGGGTGCTCCAGGTAGGATTGTCAGGGACAGAAAAGGAAGATGCGTGCTACTGGTCCACAGACCTGGGCTCAAATTCCTTCCATACCTCTGCCTTTATGAGTGACCCTGGGCAAGTTGGATCACCTCCTGTAGCCTCAGTTTCCCCATCTGCAAAATGGGACTGACAGTGGGTAAATTAACATCCATTGACTGGCAGCTGAGTAGAGACAGTTAAATGCTCTGAAAAATGCTCTGCCCCATGCCTGGCTTCTCACAGGGGCTCAAAATTATAATCAGAGTGTGAAATGGCCACGGATGCAGCAGCCAGCAGGGGCCAGGCTGGGCAAGGGCCTGGTGAGGTTTAAGGAAGTCAAAATGGGAGAATGTAGGAAGGAGTGAACCAGTGATGAGGTGGGTGGGGCCAAGTGGAACCTGATTGGCAGTTCAAGAAGGCTGGTCTGCCCCCTGCTGCCTGGCCTCCTGCCTAGACCTCCACCATTGCAGTCTCCCAGAGTTCCAGAAAGTACCCTGGTGAGTGGGGCTGCTGAGGCACGGGTGGGCCCTCAGAATATAGTCAGGGTGAGCCACAGAATCCTAATCCCTTCACATTTTAAAGCCATAGAAACTGAGGCTCAGGGCTCCACTCAGGGTTCTGAGCCAGTGTAAGACTCCAGCCTGAATTAGCCCCGCTTTCTGTTGTAGCCCTGAGGAGCAGGAGGCTGATAGGAACACTTGAGGCTTGGGGCAGGTTTGTGCTTTGTGAGCAGCCCAGTGGTCACTCCTTGTCCAGGGATGGCAGCAGGCCTTCAGGGAGGAGTTTAGGAGAGATTCAGCTTGCCTGACCCATCTCAGGGAGGCTCCCATGGGCCCAGCTAGAGTAACTCTCACCTTACACATGAGAAACAGAATCTAAGGAGGTCCCTGGCTTGTCTGAAATCACAGCATTGGATTGAAATAGGCCTGAGGGGTTGGGCCTGATGTTGGTATGTCTCCCTCCTAGAACCCCTCCTGACAGGTTTTATCCCACCTTGCAAGCTTTGTAATTTATTATTTAAATTATTTAATAGCTGAGTGCAATGTATTATCTTTTTCAGATTAAAAAGTAATATGGGCCCCTTTAAAGAATGCAACAGTTTAAAAAATGCATAATTTGGAAAAAATATTCCCATATATACTCTCCCCCAGATATGCAGAGGATACCATTGCTGAAATGTAGAATTCAGGTTGAATATTTCTAATCCAAAAATCTGAAATCCAAAATGCTCCCAAATCTGAAACTTTTGGAGTGCCCACATGATGCCACAAGTGGAAAATTCCACACCTGACCTCATGTGATGGGTCACAGCCAAAACAAAAGGACACTAAAAATATTGTATAAAATTACCTTCAAGCTATGGGTAGAAATGAATTTCATGTTTAGACTTGGGTTCCATTCCCAGGATATCTCATTATATAAAGGCAAATATTCTGTAATCAAAAAAAAATCTGAAATTCAAAATATTTCTGGTTTCAAGCATTTTAGATAAGGGATAAGGGATACTTCACCTGTACTGCTCTCCACTTACTTTCTTCTGGATCTTCATGTAGTTTTACATACATATATAAAGAATATGGAGGGGTAATTGATGGACATATTGTTCTAGAACTTCCTTTTTTCCACACAAATAGATCATGATGTGTTTTTAGCTACACCTTGTTTTTGTTGTTGTTTTATTTTTTAAACATCTGCAGATGACTCTTTCTATGAATGGGCCTTGATTTATGTAATGGTTCCTTGCTGATAATCACTGAGGTTGTTTCTGATTTGCTCCTGTTTCTGATCAAGCAGCTATGAATACCCTTGCACATGTGGCTTTACATTTGCCCAAGTGTTTAGAACAATGAGAAGTCAGAGAGCTTGCTCCTTTGTCCTTTGACATCACTGCCCTCCAACACTCTCCCTCACCCTTGCCCAATGCCCTGTCTACCTTGCAGAGTAAACAAGGATGTCATGAGGGAGACCAGATTCCCTCTTGTAGTACAGTGTCTTTCTTTGCAAATGCTTTTCATGTTCTTTCCAGTGAGGACCAATTTCTAAATGATGAACAAAGGACTCAAAGATTGGTGCCACCTGGTGGGTTGGCCTAAGGGGCCCTTTCTCCAGGAGAAGTTTGTGGATGCCTTGGATAACTTTTCCAGGGAGCAGTGTATGGGCTCCTACCCAGGTGGGCTGTTCTATCTTCTGCCCCTAGGGACAGTGGTGACGATCTATGCATGTGATCATTGGGCATTACATGTTACTTCTGGTGGCCTCAGGGGCAAGTGAGAGTAGAAAGTTCTAGGCCCTGGTTTTGCTGCTAAGGGGTGGTCCCCCCAACAAGCTCTCCCCTGGAGAGAGCTTATCCTCATTATAGCCTATATTTCAGTTTTCTGTGAATAGGGTTGCCACATTCAGACCAAACCTCCCTCTAAACAAATATACAATAACAATAAAAACCCCAAGATACTGTTTAAATTATAGTTTGAATAATTTTTAGTATATCTCATGTAATATTTGGGACATAGTCATACAACTAAAATATTTTATTCATTAGTGAACTGAAATGTACATTTCACTGGGCATCTCTCCCTGTGGGCCATCAAAGAGAAGGTGGGTATGTGGGTAGAGGCCTGTCTGGTTGTGTGAGCTTAGTCACCTTCTCAGCTGTGAGCCTGTTTCTCTACCTGCCTCCCCTATAAATCCCAGTAATGCAGGGGCTGGTGAGAAAAGAGCAGGAGACTTAGCCCCTTATTGGGCAGCCACAAGGGTGGTACAGAGGACATATAGGGCTGGCACTCTAAAAAGTAAAGGATTCAGGTCCCCAGAGAGCTTCTGGCCTTTCCTGTAGACAGCCCATCCCAGGCCTGGGGACACAGAGCACTGAGCAAGGATCTACTTTTCCTTCTTACTTAAAAAAGTATTTCATTATGAAGCCCCAAAAGGTCCAAAAGTAAGGTAATGAACACTTGTGTCCTCACCAACCAGATTAAAATTTTGTTTTTTAAAAAAACATTTTTTTATTTTTAAAAATTTTTTCAATTTGTTTATATGACAGCAGAATGCATTTTGTTTCATTGTACAAATGGAGCACAACTTTTCAGTTCTCTGGTTGTACATGTTGCAGAGTCGCACCATTTGTGCAATCATACATATACCTAGGGTAATGATGTCCATATCTCATTGTACCATCTTACCTACCCCCATGCCTCCTCCCCTCCCCTTCCCCTTCCCCTTTGCCCAATCCAAAGTTCCTCCATTCTTCCCATGCCCCTCCCCCATTATGTATCAACATCCACTGAGAGAACATTCAGCTTTTGGTTTTTTGGGATTGGCTTACTTCACTTAGCATATTTTCCAACTCCATCCATTTTACCAGCAAATGCTATAATTTTATTCTCTTTTAATGCTGAGTAATATTCCATTGCATATATGTACCACAGTTTCTTTATCCATTCATCTATTGAAGGACAGCTAGGTTGGTTCCAAAGTTTAACTATTGTGAATTGAGCTGCTATAAACATTCATGTGGCTGCATCACTGTAGTATACTGATCTTTAAGTCCTTTGGGTAGAGATCAAAGAGTGGGATAGCTGGGTCGAATGGTAGTCCCATTCCAAGTTTTCTAAGGAATCCCCATACTGCTTTTCAGAGTGCCAACAAGCTTAAAACTTAAAATGGAACCATGAGGCAGAAACTTCTCCATACCTTGTTTCTCTTTGAATTGACCCACCCTCTCTGTCTGCATCCCCATGGCTGTCTATCTCCATGTGTTTTTCTCTCTGTCCCTATCTGGACCCTGTAAGGGGTCACAGTGCTGGCAAAGGCAGGTCCTTGCTTCCAGGCCCAGAGCAGCCATGGGTGCTCGTTAGGGCCAGCCTCCTGATGCTTGTTTCCACTCTCTGCTGCCCCTTACAGGTGTCTGAGATGCCGCCCATGCTACAGAAGAAGCGCTGGGAGTCCATGGCCAAGGGGCTGGTTCTGGGAGCTCTGTTTACCAGCTTCCTGCTGCTATTGTACTCCTATGCTGTGCCCCCACTGCACACTGGCCTGACCTCCACGTGAGTAGCCTAGTTGAGCACCCAGTGGTGGGGATATAGAAGGACTACTCCCCTTCAGGGAGGCCCTGTAATTGCCTTACTACAGCACCTGCCTGAATGATTGATGCTATATCCTGGGTAGCCATCCTGAACCCTGCATCATGCTCTGCTGGACAGAAACTCCACTACTGAGGGCAGAACTCACCATGAAATCCTGGGCCTCAGTGTGCTCATCTATGAAATGGGGAGAACAACAGAGCCTGCCTCATAGAGTGGGAGAATCACATCATATCATTTATGTCCAGGGCATGGATTATATTATCTGAGGCTCCAGGAGGGCCACAGGGAAGAGGTCAGTTTATCTAAAAGCACTCAGCTGGCACAGGGCCTGGATTCAAACTCCTGTATGATCCCAGGCCTTGCTCCTAACCATCTGGTAATCCTGATGGGCATATGGGTGCAGCAGACAGGAAAGGTTCCTCATGGAGATGCTCAGCACAGATCTGGCACAGCCTGTACTTTTAGTTGCTAGGTATTAAATTGAACTGGAGGAAATTGTCAATTACTGACCCTACTAAAGGGAAATTTCATGTGGTTCAACCTAGTACTATTTTACAATAAACATAAGGCACTGGCCATGATTGAGACAAAAGCCTGTGTGCCTCACTTCACTTCAATCTCACACTAACATCACAAATAGGGCCTGTTATTCTCCCCACTTCACAGATGAGGCACAACTGAAGCCAGAGAGGCCAAATCACTGGCTCAGGCATTCAGCCTAGACTCAGGCCCATCTGTGTCCCCATCTCATCTCTGTTGCCACAACTGTCATCAACAAACCCATGTTTAGGCATGAGGGCCCAAGGTTCTGAGTCCCCAGACCCCCAGCGGCCTCTGACACTCTTCCTACCTCTCTGTCTCTAGCAGGACCCCCGATGCCATAGCACCCTGCTCCCCAGTCTCTGGTGAGTCAGAGGGGGTGATTCTGGCCAATGGCTCATTTAGAGGTTGCCAGCCACGGCGCAACATCGTGTTCATGAAGACACACAAGACGGCCAGCAGCACGCTGCTCAACATCCTGTTCCGCTTTGGTCAGAAGCACGGGCTCAAATTCGCCTTCCCCAATGGTCGCAACGACTTCGATTACCCGGCCTTCTTCACCCGCAGCCTGGTGCAGGACTACCGGCCCGGGGCCTGCTTCAACATCATCTGCAACCACATGCGCTTCCACTACGAGGAGGTGCGTGGCCTGGTGCCACCCAATGCCACTTTCATCACCGTGCTCCGGGACCCTGCCCGCCTTTTCGAGTCCTCCTTCCACTACTTTGGGCCCGTGGTGCCCCTCACGTGGAAGCTCTCAAGCAGCGACAAGCTGGCAGAATTCTTGCAGGACCCAGATCGCTACTACGATCCCAACGGCTACAACGCCCACTACCTCCGCAATTTGCTCTTCTTCGATCTGGGCTATGACAGTGGCCTAGACCCTGGCAGCCCACAGGTGCAGGAGCACATACTGGAGGTGGAGCGCCGCTTCCACCTGGTACTCCTCCAGGAGTACTTCGACGAGTCTCTGGTGCTGCTGAAGGATCTGCTCTGCTGGGAGCTGGAGGACGTGCTGTACTTCAAGCTCAACGCCCGTCGTGATTCACCAGTGCCTCGGCTCTCTGGGGACCTGTACCGCCGTGCAACAGCCTGGAACATGCTGGATGCCCGCCTCTACCGCCACTTCAATGCCAGCTTCTGGCGCAAAGTGGAGGCCTTTGGGCGGGAGCGTATGGCCCAAGAGGTGGCTGCCCTGCGCCGTGCCAATGAGCGCATGCGGCGTATCTGTATTGATGGTGGTCGGGCAGTGGATGCGGCTGCCATCCAGGACTCAGCCATGCAGCCCTGGCAGCCGCTGGGTTCCAAGTCCATCCTTGGTTACAACCTCAAGAAGAGCATTGGGCAGCGACACCAACAGCTCTGCCGTCGGATGCTCACGCCCGAGATCCAGTACCTGATGGATCTCGGCGTTAACCTCTGGGTCACCAAGCTCTGGAAGTTCATTAGGGACTTTCTGCGGTGGTGACATCCTGCTGACCTGTGGCCTCCCAGCTCTTTCACTACAGAGGGGCTGGGCAGGGACCTGTGATGTTGGCTTCCTTCAGCCCCTCCTGGTGCCACCCTGAACCTCAGGGTGAGGAGAGGCTCTCAAGAGGATGTAGCCAACCAGAACTGGGCCCCTGGTACACAGGGCCTCACAGGAGAGCAGTATTTGACTAATTATACTATTTTTTATTAAACCCCCTACCCTCTTATTTCCTGCCTCCCCTTAAAGGGGAGACCTCAGAAGTAAAAGGATTTGATGTTGTGTTTTTGTTAATCAGCCTCAGTGGTGGTGACTGGAAGGGCCCTGGGATGGGGGGAATCCCAAAAGAGCACGGTGATCTGTCTGTGAAAGTGTCTGTAAGACAGCCCAGTGCAGAGCAGGGATCTGATATGTATGTTACATATTGAAGCCTTGTGTGGTTCAGGAACTCCCATGGCTTCCAAGACCTGGAAAATTTTTGTTTGTGCATGTCTGAATGTGCGCAAGTGCATGTGTGACCAAACTCTGATTTTGTGCCTGGTCCTGGGATAAGTGCTTTATGGACATTATCTCAACTCATCTTCACCAAAACTCAGGGTTGTAGGGGCTATTATCTCATGTTAGAGAGGAGGAAAGGAGCTCAGAGAGGGAAAATCACCTGGCTGAGATCACACTGTAAATGGTAGGACTGGAGCAGGTACCTGGTGAGTGGAAGATATGGGAAGATCAGGATGGAGTCCAAGAATGAGTGAATGTGTGTGTCTGTGCGTGCATGTTCACACCCATGTGTGTGTGATGGAGGTGGGGTGGGGAGTATTTTGTGGGGCAGGTTCTGGGCCCAGGCTAAGAGCTTCTTACTCATTAATCCTCATAATAACCTTTCCCCCCCTCACATTTTTAATTTGCACATTATAGTTGTACATATTGATGAGATTTTTTGTTACATACTTATATATTCATAATAATCTTCAAGCCAGGCACAATTACTATCCCATATTATAGATGTGGGAACTGTAGTTTTAATAGGGCAAGGGACTTGCCCAAGGTCACATTACAAGATACATCAGATTCAGGACTCAAATGATCTCTCAAGGACCCCCAAATCTTTCCATCTTTGTATCTGTTCACTCTGTCCCTACTGCTCCTTCCCCTGGCTTCCAGTCAGCACCTCCTATCTCCACCCACCTTTCCCACTTCTGCTCTCCCCCGAATGCCTCACACATCTGCCCCCTCCACCCTCACATTCAGTTCAATTAATCAAAAATAAATAAACAAACTGGTCTCCACCTAATACCTGTTGCACCCCTAGACCTCATCTGTCCCCAAGTATACAGCAGTCAACAAGTTGGTCAGGACTCTCTGGAACTTATATCTAGAAGTAAAGATGGCACCAAGGCACAGTCAGATGTTATTGACCAGGGTGGGGATGCTCCTGGCTCTAACTTCAGCTGATGACTGCCTCCTTCAGCATTTCCAGGGGGACAGTGGCTTTTGGTGGCACATACTCTCAGGCTTCCAACTAGAAATTGATATCCAGGACTGAATTCCAGAAGCCACAGTCAAGAAACTGTTTATTGGAGACCTATTGTGCCAGGCTCACACACACCTGAGCTGAAGTATCTACAGCCTCCCTTCTATGTACACCAAAAGTAAGAAAGGTTAATTCAAAGCCCCACACCTAATTAGTGCTAAAGGCAGAACTCAAACCAACATGGCTCGGCTCTTGACCCTTCTCTGGGTTTGTGATATCTGTCTCCTGGGTATGAGCTTTTTGGCCAAACAGCATGGGGGAGAGTTAGGGTGATTAATTGTCCCAGTATTTTGAGACTCTCCTGGTTTTAGCATTGAAAGTCCCACATCCCAGGAAACTCCTCAGTCCTAGAAAACAAGGTTTGACCTCACCAATTCCCTAGAGCCACCCTGCCTACACCTTCATAATCTTCCTGTAATGTTCTTTGCGACACATCCTTGGAGACTTTATCTAAATCATATGCAGGGAAATAAGCAAAAACAAAGAACTGACAAAAGCTAAGACTAGGGCTGGGTTGTGGCTTGGTGGTAGAGCACTTGCCTAGCATGTGTGAGGCACTGGGTTCGATTCTGAGAACCACATATAAATAAATGAATAAAATAAAGGCCCACCAACATCTTAAATTTCTTTTAAAAGCTAAGACTATTCCTACAAAAAGATGTTACTAATCCCAAATCTATGAGAGAATTTGCCCACAATTTTATTAGTCAAAGATGGATGTCACTTAGTATGTAGTATGATACTATCTTGGATTTAAAGAACCTCATAATTTTATCTTCTTAGACTCTGAAGGGCCTAGAAGTACTAATAATAACATTATTATATATTGCATTATTCTATTATTGTTGTTATTGGCATTTCAAGATCCTTTGGGATCCAAGGAGAACAAAGCTGGTAGAAAGCAGGTGCCAGAAATATAAATTACTATATTGGAAACATCTGCCTGATAGGTTCTAAGAGCATTGCAGTTGTTAACTCATGAATTTATTTATTTTTTCATAGAGAAGCAAATTATTCATTTTTAAAAAATAGAGCCAAAGGAAGGGCAAAGGAAAATTCATTTTTAAGGGCCCTTAAGGGTTCCAATTCTATTGAGGAACCTCCATACTGATTTCCATTGTGGTCTTGCTAATTTATAATCCCATCAACAGTATGAAAGTTTCCTTTTTCTCCATATCTTCTCTAGCATTTACGATTGCATAATTATATTCTTGATGGTTGCCATTCCAACTGGAGTGAGATTAATTCTCACTGTAGGTTCATTTGCATTTTCCTAACTGCTAAACATGTTGAACATGTTTTCATATATTTTTTGGCCATATGTATTTCTTCTTTTGAGAAATGTCTGCTTAGTTCATTTGTCTATTTAATAATAGTGTTATTAGGGGGGTTGGATGGTAAACTTTTTGAATTCTTCATATACTCTGGATATTAATCTTCTGTCAGAAGGGTAGCTAGCAAAGATTTCTCTCCCATTCTATAGGTTCTCTCTTCATGTTCATAATTGTTTCCTTTGCTGGGCAGAAGCCTTTTAATTTGGTGCTATCCCATTTATTAATTCTTGTATTATTTCCTGAACTTTAGAAGTCCTATTGAGGAAGTTGTTGCTAATTCCTAGGTCTTTGATCCATTTTGAGTTGACTTTTGTGTAGAGTGAGAGATAAGGATCTAATCTCATTTTTCTATATATATGTAGAAAACTAGTTTTTCCAGTACTATTAGTTTAAAGGCTATCTTTTCTCCAATATATGTTTTTGGCAGCTTTGTTAAGGATCAATCAGATGATTATCTGTGTGAGTTTCTGTCTGTCTCTTATTTCATTTCTCTGGTTTATGTGTCTGGTTTTATGCCATTACCATGCAGTTTTTGTTACTATAGCCCTGTAGCATAATTGGAAATCAGATATTGTGATGCCTCCAGAGTTGCTTTTTTTGACTTAGAATTGCTTCAGCTATTTTAAGTCTTTTATTCATTCAAATGAATTTTAGGATTTTTTTCCTAGTCCTATAAAGAATGTCATTGATATTTTCATGGAGATTACATTGAATCTATGTTTTGCGTTTGGTAATATGACCATTTTAATAGTATTAATTCTGCCTATCCATGAACATGGGAGGTCTTTCCATCTTCTAGTGTCTTCAGTTTCTTTCTCAGTGTTCTATAGTTTTCATTGCAGAAATTTCTCATCTCCTTGTTTAGATTTTCTTTCTTTTTTCTTTCCTTCTTTCCTTCTTCCTTTCTTTCCTTCCTTCCTTCCTTTCTTTCTTTCTTTCCTATTGTGAATGGAATTGTTTTCCTGATTTATTTCTCAGCACATTCATTATTGGTATATATGGAAGCTATTATTTTTGTATGTTGATTTTGTAACCTGCTACTTTGCTGAATTTATTAGCTCCAGCAGTCTTCTGGAGGTTTTGAATCTTCTTAATATAGGATCATATCACCTACAAACAGTGATAATTTGACTTCTTCTTTTCCTGTTTTTATTCCTTTTGTTTTTTCTCTTGCCTAATTGTTCTGGCTAGAAATTCTAGTACTATATCTAATAGGAGTGGTGAGAATGGACATTTTTGTTTTGTTCAAGAAACAAGTGGACATCTATGTCTTGTTTAAAGGAAATGCTTTCAGTTTTCCCCCATTCACCATGATGTCATCTTTGGGTTTATAAAATATAGCCTTTATGGTGTTGAGGTAGATTCCTCCTATTCCTAGTTTCTTCAATGTTTTTATCATAATTGGTGCTGAATTTTGTCAAAAGCTTTTTCTGAATCTATAACTATGTCAGTCTTGTCCCGATTTATATTTATGTGGGGAATTACATTTATTGATTTTCATATGTCAAACCATCCTTGCAATCTTGGAATGAAAACCACTTGATCATGATGTGTCTTAATATGTTTTGAATGCAATTTGCTAATATTTTTTATTTTTCCTTTTTAAAAATTGTTTACTGGTACATTATAATTATACAAAATAGAGGGATTCATTATGCCATGATTGTATATGCACACAACATAATTTTATCAATCTAATTTCCTAGTATCTTCCCTTTTCCTCTCCTCCTCTGATCCATTACTCTACTCTACTGATCTCCCTCTATTATTGTTATTTTAATTAGTACATTACAAATATATATATATATATATATATATATATATATATATATTTATATATTCAGGATTCACTGTGGTATATTAATACCTAGAGATAGCATAATTTGGTAGATTTGATTTGGTAATATTTTATTAAGAATTTTTGCATTTAAGTTAATCAGGGATAGTGGTCTATAATTTTCTTTGTTTGATGTGTCCTTACCTGGTTTTGATATTAATGTCATACTGGCTTCATAGAATAAATTTGGAAGTGTTTCACTCCCTTTTTAGTTCATGGAATAATTTAAGGAATGTTGGCATTATTCTTCTTTAAAGGTCTGGTGGAACTCAGCTGAGAATCCATGTGGCCCTGGGTGTTTTTTTTGTTTTGTTTTGTTTTTTTTTACTGGAAGGCTTTTTATTATTCCTTCTATTGGGTGTTATTGGTCTGTTCAGGTTTTCTGTGGCCTCTTGATTCAATTTTGACAAGTCATATGTGCCTAGAAGTACATCCATTTTTTCTAGAGTTTACAATTTATTGGAGTGTAAGTTTTCAAAATATTCTCTAACGATTCTCTGGATTTCTGTGATATCTATGGCGATTTCTCCTTTTTCACCTCTAATTTTTGTTAACTTGGGTCTTCTCTCTCTCTCTCTGGTTAGGGTTTACC